GTTGAAGGAACAAATCTCTGCTGATGGATGAAGGTTTACAGACTGCATATATATCTCAGAATATACTTGTTATAAAAATCCCCATGACGTAGTATATTTACATTACTTTTGGGCAGGAAATTAAATTCTAACCCTCGGCCCAAAAAACTTTTCTAGAACTAAAAGATTATTGATTGCTTAAAGCAGAACTTTAGCCAACAGTTATATACATGGTTTTAGATAGATAGATAGATAGATAGATAGACACACAATTTACACATATGGCAGTCAGGGGACTCTGTTGTTTCCTGGTTCTGGTTTGCAGCTTCCTTTATCACTTTTCTGGCTCTATCCTGATCAGAGGCAGCATCCTCACATTTTTGATTCATTGACTTACTAAAGGAGTGCAGACTGTTCACTGAATATCCATCTACTTGCAAGAAAATGTAAAAACAGGGTTGGTTGCACTTGATTTAATTATTAAAGTGAACAGCTTCATCTTATTAAACTAAACATTTACTTTAAAAAGCAACATTCTTTCAGCTGGCCTTACATGTGGCAATTTTTTGGAGCATTTGATCTTATAGGGCCAAAACACACTTTTACAAAGCAGTGTGTTGCGCCAACCTAAGTTTATTCATTTCAATGGGCTGCCTTAAGCCTTAAGACATGTGAAAAAAATCCATGCTAACACACCAGGATGCTAAGGTCTGAATGGGCCTTGAAAGATATTTTTTGTTGAATAGCACAATGCCAGTCTAAAGGTGCCCATACACTGCTCGATTCTCGTACGAGAATCGTGGGAAATCCCGCGATCGTACGAGAATCGAGCAGTGTGAACGAAGATGTGCGACCGTTTCTACTGTACGGTCGCACATCTTTTGTCTAAGGAGCACGCTAGAAAACCAGCCGAAAATCGTACGTTTTTCGGCTGGTTTGAACGGTGCTCGGGAGACAAATGCCGAACGGGCCGGTATGCGCACGCGCACACTGCCCGTTCAGCATTGCGGTCATCGGAAGCCCGCCCCTCAGGGGGCGGGCTTGCGATGATCGAGAGTACGATCTGCCCAGAACGTTTTTTTAATCACTTTACAACCATCGCAAGACTAAGGTCTTGCGATGGTTGTACAGTGTATGGCCACCTTAAGACATAAAATTGTGTTTTTTGATAAACTACGAGACAATGAGACCAAAATTACTCTGATTACCACGCAGAAAAACCTGATCACTTTCGAAGACATAGCTGTAGTTTTTTCATTTCTAATTTGATCTTTCAATAAACTGAATTTAGGCTGTCAATGCATTGCCCAGTTTTGACTTCACAATGGACCAAATTCTGGCGGTCTATCTAACAACTGGGTATTTATATTGGTCCTTTTTAAAGTGATTACTTGCAATTGTATTTGTGATTTCTGTTGGATGTTAAGTGGTGGAAATTGACTGAAATTTGCCACATGTATTGCCAGCTTTGCCGTTTAACCAATTCAACCCATTCTCCAGTTATCGGGCAGGAGACACAGGATGCTGTAACGTTGAACCAGTAAATACCAGAGTTATCCTTCTCGGCTATGTTGTGTAGCACATGTATGTGAAACACAAGACTTATTGAATAGATTTAAATTCTATGGCAAATTACCCGTATCCATATATGTATTTTAACTTTGTGTTTAGCTGTGTGCCTGCTGTTCTGTTTTAAAAGTATATCCACCTCTGCCATCATCATACATAGTAAAAGGCAGTTGAAGTACCTTGGTTTTCTATGGCAGCCAGGAAAAAAAAGCAAATCTTGTCTTGGCAATTATACTGCGTTGTCCATTTTAACCCAGCATGATAGTAATTTCATGGTTCAGTATTAGATGCGCATCCTATTTTTTTTTTGTACTCTTCATAATACCAAGCCATCTAGCACACATTTGGCACGCACCTCCTATGACTGGAAGCCACCCCAGGACATAATTGTTCTTTCGTCAGTGGCTTTCTGTCGTTTACCACCAAAAAAATGCTCGTATTTTTTTTTTTTTACAAAGGCATATGAGACGGCTAGGCTCAAATCTTGTTAGTCTACAACATGCATCCTTGTACATCATCTACACTCAAATAGGAGACAAATGTGATAAAATTGCAGTCTGAAAGCATTCAAGTGATGCTTGGCTCCAGATCTTATGCATTTAACTCTAGCAGCGCCAAATGGAACAAGCGATGCAAAGCCTATGCTTATGTGCCAGCCTCTCTCTGTGCTAGAAGGGTTAAAGCCAAGATCTGTGAGGCTAAACCGCATCCATGCAGAGTGATCCTCGTCAGTCTCCATATTTGGCATTACATCCTCAGCTGTTCTGATGTCATCATTGCACTTCGGTTCCTTGACCCCCCCCCCCCTCCCCCCCATCCCTTTCATGAATTGTTCTCTCTCCCTCTGTTTATGTCGTTTTAGTCTCCAAAAACTCAGTGGTATGCTTGAAGTGTTGTGGCTAGACAAAGCTTGCTCCGTGTTAGTAACGCTATATTATTTGGCTTAGCGCAATGATTAAGAATGCAAGAGGATTATGAGGTATACCTTATATGCTAATCCAGCTGGCTGAATTGTACTGAGCCAAGACTAATATTTTATGCCTATAATTGTTTTCTCTTTAACGGTGTTAAACCTTTGAATTTTCTTATTGGCATGTTTTAAATTGTACCTGTGATTTTGCAACTAACAATATGCTGGAAAGGAGGAGGGTTAGAAAGTGTGCACACCTCTTTTATTTGTTTTTTTACATTTATGAAGATGTTGCTGTATTTTTGGAAATATGATGCTATGTCCCCCCTGCTCTACCTTCAAAGTGTGACGGTACAGTTGCACATTATTTGACTACCCCACCATACTTCCCAGCTAGTCTTAAACCCACCCATCCCTGATCCAGTGCCAATTAGTGCTGCACAGCCGCTTGTCAACAGGTTTTCTGCAAGACCTGCACAAGCTCAACCATACTCTCAATTCAATCCCAGCTTTTCTTGTGAGCTTTGAGGATCAGAGTTGAGCCATTACTATTCTCACCTTAGATATCACTAACACTGATGTTCTGAAAAGCCTAAAGTGAACCTGTACTTTGTCCTCCTATCCCATACTTAGTTTTGCGGAAAAAGCTCCAAGTCGGCCCCACATGTCAGAGATCGACCTTGATAACTGGCTGCTGAGGCATCCATTGCTGAAGCATGGGAAGAAGGGGAGAGTAAGACGTTACTCCATACCCAGAAGTACTGATCATTTCACTTGGTTCCAGCGGCAAAACATTATGGCAGTGGAGCTTGGAAAAGGAGCATATCAGGGGTGAGCGATGAAGTCAACCTTTTACTTTGCCGTGAAAGGGCCACGTACAGATTTGCTTTGGGAGAGGACAAAACAATTTACAGAGGGAAGATTGGAGGAGTAGGCTAATATTAAATCAGGTATCAGTGTCCTTACCACTTAATCTCACTCCAGGTTTCTTTCTGCAATGCCTTTGTTCTTTCCTGGGTAATACCTGTACTAGTCGCATCTAAGGCCCGGTTCACACCTGAGCGTTTCTACGCGCGGTAAAACGCGCAACAGGTGAAAACTCATGTTTGCCTATGGGCATGGTTCGACCGCACGGTAAAACACCATACGCCCAAAGAAGTACAGGAGCTTATTTGGGGTGTATTAACGCGCGTATCCTGCTGTATCCAACAGGATACAGCCGGATACATCCTCGGAAACCCGCGTTTGCCGCGCGTCTCATTTACCGCAAATCGTGGTAAAACCGCGCGGCAAGAAACACGCAGCAAACACGAGTTTCCAATACGCTAAGGTGTGAACCCAGCGTAACTGTTCCTCATCCTAACTCCCTGTGTTATCCATGGAGACACAATAGGGCAGTGCTTAAAATGTATGTCTGGGCAAAATTAAGAAAATAAAGTGCAACACATCTTTGCAATGCATGCACATTTCCCCATATTTTGCCCCTTAAAATCACTATAAGTAACAGAAACATATCTATTGATCCGCCAAAGATCATGCAAGTTCCTATTCCTAACTTGCTGTTTGAGCTGACAACACAGTTCCTCTGCTGCACTGAAATCCCAAAAGGTTTGGTCAGCCCTGTTTAGTTCTACAGTTGGACTACAGTATACCACACCCTCTCTTTGTCTCCATAACAGCACAACATAAAGGAAAATTTTTTCGTACTCTAGCGGGGAGAACTCTGATAATAATGCTTGGGGCTGACAACACTGCTTGGAATTTCAGTACAGCAGATAAAGTTTTGTCAGCACACAACAGGAAGTTAGGAGCCCAATGGATTTCTGGTGAGATCAACTAATATTTTTCTGCACTTGCGACATGTTTAAACATTGGTAAATGTGGATGTTTAGCAGAGATGTACTAAGTATGTTTTTGTGGGTTGTTTTTTTTCTTCCGAGACAAGTAGTACATTTATTGAAGCTCCTAAAACTCCTCCTGTCTGAAACCACCAAGATAAGAATGAGTGGACCTGCAGACATTTACAGTTTAGATAAAATGTTTTTTTTTTCCTGGGTATGAAACAATTTAAATCAATGTTCCAGTAGAGTATCAGCTTCTCTCTGGATGCATTTATTAAGAATAATTATCTGCTAGGCATGTAGTGGTGCTAAGAGCTCCCCATTCCATGCATGGGACATTTAAACTGAAGAAACCAAGGCTTCTAATTGCTTAGAAATTGCATGAACAGTAAAAGTAGCTCCAACTTAGTAGCTTCAGCCCAGTGACAACTGCGTGAACTGGTCTTTAGTGTGACAGAGACACAATTCAGAAATACACTAAAACCTTCATCAATGTTTGAACCAAATACAGGGTCTTCCTCCCTTACTCTCCTTCTTTACAGCATAGAGGTGCACGTTGAATCTTGCAGCAGAGCTAACTAAATTACTTTCTTTTGTTCATATGAATGGTATACACCATATCCTTTGCCAGCAATGCATTGACTACTAACATGCCATAAAGATATAGCTCCTGTACTAAACTGTCTCATTGGTTTTTATAGATACCTACGTAAAGCTAACACTGCTGAATTCCATGGGCCAGGAAATGTCGAAATGTAAGACATCGACGCGAAGAGGCCAGCCCAACCCCCTGTACAAAGAAACCTTTATTTTCCAAGTAGCCCTGTTTCAGCTGTCGGACGTGACTCTCATATTGTCTGTCTATAACAAGCGCAGCATGAAGCGCAAAGAGATGATAGGTTGGATATCCCTAGGTTTGAACAGCTCAGGCGATGAAGAGCTCAGTCATTGGACTGAAATGAAAGAGTCAAAAGGACAGCAAGTATGTAGATGGCACACGCTGCTTGAATCCTAATTGCCGTCAAGAGGTCTCTTGTGACTCAAGAGAGCTCATCTGCTCTTTTGAAAGGACAGGATGTAATTTAGCCACCTGCAGAAGATTGCTCCTCGCAGGTAATGGGTTTGACATGCAGAGAAAAGCTCAGTACACATCAGAGATGAGGTTTCACGCACAGTAGTGCACTCTCCCCGGATGTCTGAGCGGAGATGGATAGAAGACGTGAGCCGCACCAAAACCAGATCTCTAGATGTGATATCAACCACTTCTATAGGTGCTTTTCTTATTTTGTCTGATGAAACTGTTTTGTACAAGGTCCCTGCTGATTAACATGACCCTCTCTGGTTCCATCAACTGGAAGAGTAGCGTAAAAAAGCTTTGAAAAGACACAGATACCCTCAGTTTGGTATTTCGTGCTTTATTTTTACAGCACCATGCAACTTTCTTAGCTTTTTTGTCTATTTTTGTACTTGCAGGGAGTAGTAAGAATAGAATGCTACATGCCACTAATACTTACCAGTTAGCCAAAAGCTAAATGTGGGCGATTTGAACCACCAGCAAGAGATTTAACTCCTTGGCAATTGCTTCATTTGCAGTGCATTCATTTTAACAGAGGCAGTCATCAAGGATTTAATATCTTGCTAACCAGTGGTTTGAATCACATATGTAGCACTAGCCTAACTTGCAATGGCTTAAGGATATTATAGTTTTGATTGGATGCTTGAAGGCTGAACCACCCACTGTGGAGAGATAACTGCATCACACATTCCAGCTGCCACCTGCCACAGCTATTAGGCGGGGATCTTACTCTTACCACCGTGGTTTATATGGAGGAATGTGGTGCTTAGCACTTACTAAGGACTTTATGTGCAAGGAATATGTATATTCTCCCTGTGTTTGTGTGGATCTACTACCCCAGTCCAAAAATATGCTGTTCGGTTAATTGGGTTTCTCCCAAATTGAGCCTGTGTGGCTGGGACCAATACAAATCGGTGTGTTCTCTGTAGAGCCCTATGGAATAAGTGTCAGCCTATAGATTCATTTTTCCTTTTAAATATTGTAGTCAGAATAGCGAGACTCCCTTGCTTGTCTGCAGAGGTGGGAACTCTAGCTGGGAGATATCGCTGCTGGTGTCCTCAGGCGATATATAAGAGGTCATTAATGGGTTATTCAGCTCATCAAAGTCTAATCAGGGCATAAATGTCACCAAGCAGGAAAGTCTTGACCAATTCCACACAGGAGCAAGTAACTGATTCCGAATATTGGATTTATTTAAGCGTCCCCATTATTCTACAATCCAAAAACATAGATTCACAGCAGTTTGTCCCTGACAGAATCGTCCTGCTAGTATTCATTAGCCTGTGGTAGGGACATTAGATTGTAATTTCCTTTGGTGCAGGGACCAATATAAAAGACTATGTGACTGTGTGACTGTACAGCTTTGCATACTATGTTAGCATTACATAATAGGCACAAAATGTTCTAAGCTAAACCATAGGCACAGTACAGTCAGAATGATAAGTGCAGCTTTGAGATCAATATTAAAGCTTATATCCAGAAAAATCTAAAAACACATATAAAGCAAATATTTATTTAAAAACGTATTGTTAAATACAACCTATTTAAGTACCTGAATCTGTCTTGATATCAGCCACCTGCGATATAGTAGCACCCTAACTTGGATGGGAGGGCCAGCACTAGGGGCCAATTAGACTTTGCAATAGTACTTATGTGCTGGCAGTCAACATGCTGACAGGAGGAATGGACAGAGAGATGATATTGGCAGTGTGCTATAGTTTCTTAATAGTCCTATCAGTAAGCTGGGGTGTGTCCAAGTCCTGTTGTAAGGGCCGGTTCACACCATAAAGTACGCGTTCCAGTGCGTTCGGCTTCTGGAAGCACTATTTTTGCAGTTCGCACTGGATCCTGCCACAGCTATTAGGCGGGGATCTTACTCTTACCACCGTGGTTTATATGGAGGAATGTGGTGCTTAGCACTTACTAAGGACTTTATGTGCAAGGAATATGTATATTCTCCCTGTGTTTGTGTGGATCTACTACCCCAGTCCAAAAATATGCTGTTCGGTTAATTGGGTTTCTCCCAAATTGAGCCTGTGTGGCTGGGACCAATACAAATCGGTGTGTTCTCTGTAGAGCCCTATGGAATAAGTGTCAGCCTATAGATTCATTTTTCCTTTTAAATATTGTAGTCAGAATAGCGAGACTCCCTTGCTTGTCTGCAGAGGTGGGAACTCTAGCTGGGAGATATCGCTGCTGGTGTCCTCAGGCGATATATAAGAGGTCATTAATGGGTTATTCAGCTCATCAAAGTCTAATCAGGGCATAAATGTCACCAAGCAGGAAAGTCTTGACCAATTCCACACAGGAGCAAGTAACTGATTCCGAATATTGGATTTATTTAAGCGTCCCCATTATTCTACAATCCAAAAACATAGATTCACAGCAGTTTGTCCCTGACAGAATCGTCCTGCTAGTATTCATTAGCCTGTGGTAGGGACATTAGATTGTAATTTCCTTTGGTGCAGGGACCAATATAAAAGACTATGTGACTGTGTGACTGTACAGCTTTGCATACTATGTTAGCATTACATAATAGGCACAAAATGTTCTAAGCTAAACCATAGGCACAGTACAGTCAGAATGATAAGTGCAGCTTTGAGATCAATATTAAAGCTTATATCCAGAAAAATCTAAAAACACATATAAAGCAAATATTTATTTAAAAACGTATTGTTAAATACAACCTATTTAAGTACCTGAATCTGTCTTGATATCAGCCACCTGCGATATAGTAGCACCCTAACTTGGATGGGAGGGCCAGCACTAGGGGCCAATTAGACTTTGCAATAGTACTTATGTGCTGGCAGTCAACATGCTGACAGGAGGAATGGACAGAGAGATGATATTGGCAGTGTGCTATAGTTTCTTAATAGTCCTATCAGTAAGCTGGGGTGTGTCCAAGTCCTGTTGTAAGGGCCGGTTCACACCATAAAGTACGCGTTCCAGTGCGTTCGGCTTCTGGAAGCACTATTTTTGCAGTTCGCACTGGACCGGAACGCAAGCACTAATGTGCCTGCGTTCCGGGTGTGTGGGCGATCGCACTGCGGGCGGGGGATCGTGGCTGCAGTGCCATTTACTTGAATGAACCGCCACTCTCCCTCCCGCACCTGAACGCGGGCAGCCGACTGGCTTGCGTTCCAGAGGCCCAACGCACTGGAACGTGGACTTTATGGTGTGAACCGGCCCTAAAGCTGTAGTTGCATGGGAGGTATGGCTGAATAACAAGGCTGGCTGCAGATAATTACATCCCCCTTGTTGTTTACCTAGAATTCAGCCTTTAATGTTATGTTGATTTTCTTACCTGGCCTATTCAGTGCTCTAAGCCTCAAAATGATTATTTCTGAGAAGCATGTGTAAGGACACGTAAACACGAGAGCATTTGCCTTCTGATAACCAGTAGATGTAAGCTCTCAGAAGCATGTACATTGTAAGAGTTGCTGAGATGTAGTATTTGAGGAAACAGTTCATACAGCCCAGAGTTAGCAGAAGAGTTAGCAATAGGGACGCAGAAATGTCATAGGCCTTGATGACAACTCTCAACAGTCAGGTGAAAAAAGGAAATAAATAAAAGATTACGTTTTGCAGGCTTGTGTTGTCTACCTTAATATATAACGGGGGACACATGTGTTTGAAAAGTGCACGTATCACGCTATTCAGCCAAATCTGACATATTAGTGTTGGATGGAGGTTAATGAAAGAGGAAAATATGTGAAATAATATGTACAGGGTGGTTTTCACCAATGGATAGGCCTTCTGTTGGGTGCTGCTGCTGGCTCCAGCAACAGCGTGTCCAACCCTTCAATGTGGACCTATCACTAAGACTGGGTTCACACTTGGGCGTTTGTAATATGCGCTTTGCGGTCAACGAAACGCGTGACAAACGCGCATTTATGAGGGCTATCCAGCTGTATCCTAATGGATACGCGTGGAAAATACACCCCAAAGGAGCTCCTGTACTTCTTTGGGCGTAGGGAGTTTTTCAGAGCATTCCTACGCGCTGAAATACGCCCAGGTGGGAACCATACCCATAAGAAATAATGGGATTTCACTTGCTAGGCGTTTTACAGCGCGTCGATCAGCGCTGTAAAATGCCCAGGTGTGAACCAGGGCTAAAATTCACACTTACCAAATCAATAAATATCTTCCCATGAATAGATAAACTGCCCTCTGGGACCTAAAATTTAGCAAAGATGCTCTCTTATGTCTGCAAATACTCACCCTGTCTGGAAGATTTGCAGTGAGATAAGGGGATAAGCAAAGCACAACCAAGAAGAGGACCCTGCATTTGTAATGACATTTGGCCGTCACATATAATTACAAACTATAGCCAAATAAATTTAAATATGAACATAGACTACATTAAGCTGATCACATTTATATTACAATGTATATCTAAAACCATAATAAGACTAATACTGTAGGTGCTTGGGACACATTACATTGCAGGAATGTGCAAAGTTTGTGATGCGATCAAATAGCCGCTGATGATCTATAGGCCCATTTCACATGGGCTGATCAGGAGGGAATCAGGGCACGGATCCCCTCCTGATCAAAGCAGCTTGGAGTGGATGTCACCATTTTGACATGCGTGTCTGTCCAGTTTTTTCCTCCATCTTGTGATGGAGGAAAGAACTAAAACTGCCAGACCTCATGTCAATATATGGGGAATCAGAGGTAAATGGGCATGTGTCCGTTTGCATCAGATTACGCCCCGTCTGGCACGATGAGGTCTGGGGAAACTGAACTTTTTTCTGTTTGTTTTTCTGGACCTGGCCGTTTACACCCAGCTGCCCATAGACTAGCATTGGGCATCCGAAGGGTCCGCCTGAATAACTCACAGGCGGACCCGTTTGGACCACCCGTGTGAAAGAGGCTTTACTGCTATGTAGCTAAACAATGAATTATATAAGTAAAATAAAACATGCAAACAACTAAAA